ACTGATTGTCTGTAATAGCTAAATGTGGTACCTACCTGACTTCAACAAGTGGTACACTATACAGCCACTTACTAAAATGGTAAACATTGGGTAAGAAACAGAAGGAGGAAAGGGGTTGAAGCAAAGGTCCTCATTCGAATAGAATTAAGCTTAATGTGTCTTTCTGATATCTAAGGGTAGATAACAAATGGGCAGCCTGCGTATTTGAATCTATATTTATTTATAAAAGGGCTACCCAAATACATATACATATGTATTAATAAAGAGTGGGTCCTAGTAAGGGCTATGAAATGTTATGGCCATGTGTCCACCATTCAAACTATTCTGATTAAGGAGGAGGAGGAGTGACTAGATAAAGGTTGTGAGTTTTAAGTGGTCTTTCTGTTCTTACTTCTAAATCATTTCACTTCCAAACATTATACTTCTGTATAATTGGCTATCCTATTCCTCAACATCATTTATCAGCAATTTTCTCAATGGAAAATTCCTTCAGATTTGTCACTAATGAGTAACTCTGGGAGCTGAGTCTCCAAGGCTGAGAAAGCTTCCTTTCTGTAGCCAAACCCCTCTGATCTCAAGAGAGTGGGAAATTGATAACATTCAGCTCCCAAACTATATCACCTTTACCTTCAGACATGGTTTCACCAAGGTAATCAAAGGGCCTAAATTCTGCATTCTGTTTATTTACTCACCAAACCATTGGATAGAGTGGATATTGCTCACTCATGAGAAGAGATTAGGGAAGCTGGCAGGTAAGTATAAAAGGTGGCATTTGACAGACTAATGAGCTCATATTTCTGAGTGGAACATAGAAGGTGCATGTTCTGCATTTCAGGAATGGATAACTTTGAAATGATATGTAATGTGTATATCTGTTTCCCATGTAATATGTAAATCAGTTTAGCTAAAAGAAAATACCTTACATGGTAAAAATGCAGTCATGGAAATATCTAATAGAAAGTTAGATATATGAGTCTAGAGTTAGGAAAGAAGTTAAAAGTAAAGATATAACTTGAGAGTTATCTGTTCACAGATATTTAAAGCATGAAAATGGAAATAGGGAAGAAGAGAGGTACAAGTGTAGATGAAAAAAGAAGAGGAGAAACCACCCAAGGAGACTGAGAAGGACTCATCAGTGAGATCACTGGGAAACCTAGGAAAACAGTGTGAGTGTCTTCAGAGCAAGACAAAGAAAGTTTTTGAAATAAGAAAAGAATGAACAACTATGCTAAGTCTTACTTAAGGTCTGAAAATTGAACTTTGACATTCATGATAGTGATTTCAGTGGAATGATTAGGGCAAAGGCTTTAAGAGTATTCAAGAAAGTGTGGAAAGTTAAAAAGTTTGAAGAGTAATGGACAATGAGTAATGAAGACAATAAGGTTATTATGGATTTGTCATAAAGGGTAAGACATGAGGCAATAGCTGGAGAAGCCTGAGGGAACATATTAGGGTATTAGGATATAGCGCATTCAAGGTTGAAATTTTAAAGATCAATAGATAGATCCTCAAAACTCCTAAATGCTGACATTTATTCTGAGAGAACCTTAGTAGTGAACCACACCTGACCTGAGATCCAACATGAATTAAATATTTTCTAGATAAATAACCTCAAGGTAGATATCATAGCGGTGAAAATATTCACATGAAATCATCAAAAAAAAAAAAAATCCAACCTGGGAGAAAATGGGAAAACACAGGCATGGCATGGTCTGAGCTGAAGAAAGTATTGTTCTTAAGAGATTAAAAGGTAGGAGTAGTATTAATCTCATAGGAGAAGAATGTTCCAATTCTCAATAAAAAAAAGAAAAATTAAAATAGAGGTAAAACAGTATTAATAAAGGTATGGTTGATGAATGTCCTACATTTTTATTTCAACTTAGTAGGCTCAGCATCAGTATCACCAGTGTTGAAGCATGCAAATTCTTATGTCCCACCTCAGACCTACTAAAGCATAATCTCTGGGGTAGATACATGAAATGTGTCACCTAACTTGTTGTTGAAATGATTCTTTAGCATGTGAAAGTGTGCAAAGTTTTGTTCTCAAGTATTCAAGAATGCTCTACATAAAGAGGGAAATAGTAATGTGCCTTCATTCTACAGCACTTAATTATTAGAACATCTCAAGATGCTAGAGACAAGGAGGTAATGAATATATGGGTGGAAAGGGAAAGTAAACTATGCCTGTTACAGGACTCATTATAAGTCTTTAATTATAGATCCTGCTGGGTTAAAAATGACACTGCAATCATACCTTAGTAAATCTTTTATTCAGATAACAATTTTTTCCAATTAGCATAACATGACCCCTCTCTTCATGATCATTGATTCAAAGGGCATTTTCGCCCTGACTGATATATATGAAATAGATACCCTTACTGTTAGAGAAAAGAGTTGATAATAATCATTGGTTGGAACTATATTCTCAGATCTTTGGCTGCTGCTATAAAGAACTTTTCAAAGGAAAACATGGTTCAAAAAATTGACTCAATTTAAATGTACAATATAATTAAGAAGAGACAAATTGCCAGAAAAATGGAAAACTCCTGTAGACAATAATCAGTTAAAGGCTAGATCATTCTAGCTAGTGAGGTTGCTAGTGAGTGGTGGGAAATCCTGCTTCACAGGTAAATGGATCCACGTGTAGACATTCTTGATAACCAAACACATCGAGGTGTGTCTGCGCAATAAAAGATAAGAGATATTAGAGGTATGTAAGTGAGGCAGAGTCAGGCCAAAAGCAGAAAGTTATACAATTTCTGGGAGATGCTTGCAGCATGAATCATAGTAAGTAGACAGTGGAATCAGTGAAGCTGCTGATGAAATAAGCCAGGAGGGAATTGATGAGAGAAAGCCCAAATAAGTAAAGAAATTGAGAAAGAGACTGAAACAAGAACCCATTTTTCAGGGGGCGGAAGGGGGAGTTTGGATGTAAGAGATGAAAGAAATGGATAAACCAATGTTTCCAGCCTATGTTACTAGGAGAATACCTAGAAGAAAGAAGTTTAATTCTTTT